CCTGCTGTGTGATCCCGGGGGAGGGGTGCACCCTGCTGTGTGATCCCGGGGGAGGGGTGCACCCTGCTGTGTGATCCCGGGGGAGGGGTGCACCCTGCTGTGTGATCCCGGGGGAGGGGTGCATCCTGCTGTGTGATCCCGGGGGAGGAGTGGACCCTGCTGTGTGATCCCGGGGAGGAGTGGACCCTGCTGTGTGATCCTGGGGGAGGGATGCACCCTGCTGTGTGATCCTGGGGGAGGGGTGCACCCTGCTGTGTGATCCTGGGGGAGGGGGGCACCCTGCTGTGTAATTCCCGGGGGAGGGGTGCACCCTGCTGTGTGATCCCTGGGGAGGGGTGCACCCTACTGTGTGATCCCGGGGAGGAATATATAATGCTGTGTTACCCTGGGGAAGGCTGTGCCATGTTGTGCATTCTAAGCCTCACATATTTTCTCGGTCAGGTTCCTGCGTTGTTCGCCGTTCGATGAATACAAGTTGTGGAAGAATCAGGTGGATAACGGCAGCAGGAAGGGGGGCGAGAGACTGAATATCCTGACCAAGAGCCTGCTGCTGCGGAGGACCAAAGACCAGATGGACCACGCGGGGAGACCTCTGGTGATTGAAGGGGGCGGGGAGGGGGTGTGGTCTGTTATATATTTACATAGTAACTCCGCCTAATTTCCATCTATGTGAGTGAAGTCGGATCTGTAAATGAATTTCTGTTTTCATACCGGCAGGTGGAGCTCCCCCAGAGACACAGTCAGCTGCATCACCTGAAGCTGTCGGATCAGGAGCAGACACCCCCCACAGATCTACACTGCAGAATTATTTGAAGCGACATGAAGGGGGCTCACAGGCACCACCAATGGGGGCAGATAACCCCTTTGAGAGAGGTAAGTCTGGCATCTCATCCAACCCCCCAGATGTTGGTGCCGCGTCATAGAATCTGGTCTGCTGGTCGCACATACACATTACTACCTCACTGCACATGTGTGGGATATGTTCCTTTAGTCACAGCTTGAGGGGGACCTGTACATGTGTGGTGCAGAGTCTGCAAACATGGGGCTGAGGAGCATCTCCCCTCTTGCCACCATGTTCCCCCCATCTTCCACCAACACCACTCCCTTATACCACCATGACTTTGACTCCCCATGAATGATCTTGTCACCCTTCCCTTCTTCATCTCTGCATCTTGCCATAATACACCCCCTCCCCCC